AGGAGGGCTCAGGGAGGGAGAAGGGCAAACAGAGCCAAGAGCTTCAAGCTCTGGCCTGATCCCAGGGGACCAGAGGCAGCTCAGACAGTGCCCGGGGCTGGAGTGGCATTGCCCTGCCCTGCTGGCACCTCGGTGGCCCCTGTCAGCTCCTGGCTGGCCACACGCCCTTGGGAACCCTCCCTCCATCTGTGCCGGTCTGGGAGGTGCAGCAGAGCAGGGCAGTTTCACTTCTCATCTGCAAACATCTCCCCTCCCCGTCCCAGGGGCTGCGTCTCAGCTGAGGACTCGGTGGTTTCAGCAGCCCCTGGGGCAGCCGCGGGGCTCACAGGGCTCTATAAATATCCCAGAGCTGAGGCCTCTGTGCTGGGGCAGCTCGAGGGGGAGCTGGGACCGCGTGCAGCACCTCATCTTCAGGTGCTGCTGTGCCCCGGGAACCAACCTCTGCTCTGCTGAGACCCCCCTGCAGGGCTGGGAACAGCTCTGGGGTCCCCAGCACAGGAAGGACACGGAGCTGTTGTAGAGAGGCCAGAGGAGGCCCCGGAGATGCTGGGAGGGCTGGAGCAGCTCTGGAGCCAGGCTGGGAGAGTTGGGGTGTTCAGTCTGGAGAAGAGAAGGCTCCAGGGAGAGCTGAGAGCAGCTTCCAGGGCCTGAAGGGGCTCCAGGAAAGCTGGGGAGGGGCTTGGGACAAGGGCAGGGAGGGATGGGAGCAGGGGGAAGGGGTTCCAGCTGGCAGAGGGAGCTGGAGCTGAGATGGGAGGGAGAAATTCTGGGCTGTGAGGGTGGGGAGAGCCTGGCCCAGGTTGCCCAGGGAAGCTGTGGCTGCCCCATCCCTGGGGGTGTTGAAGGGCAGGTTGGATGGGGCTTGGAGCAGCCTGGGCTGGCGGGAGGTGTCCCTGCCCATGCAGGGGGGGCACTGGGTGGACTTTAAGGTCCCTCCAACCAAACCATTCTGTGATTCCATGAAGGGACAGCTCTTGAGCACATGGAGTGCTTTAAGCATCCCAGGGCAGCGTGGCTATTGCATTTTGAATTAATGGCACTTTATCTTCCCATTCTCTGTCCCCACCAGGAACTGGGGTGTGCAGTCCCTGTTCCTTCCCTCTGGAGGCAATGGGGGAAGAGGTTCCATGCCTCTCAGCACCCTTGGAGCTGGGTTTGCAGGTGCTCAGAGCTGCACAGAGCAGTGTCCTGGGCTGGGGCTGCAGGGCTGTCCCCCCCAGCTGGTGCTGGTGGAGCTGGTCTCTTCTGTCTTCCATCATCCAGCCTCCTGCTTTTGAGTCACCTCCATGTGCATGGGGCTTATGCCTCAGCCCAAAGCCTTTCAAGCTGCCAGACTAAATATAATTCCTCTGTGGTTTTCTGGGCCAGACACACATCCAGGCGTGGAGGGGCTGGCTCGGGGAGGGGGGGGACACTGTGTGAAACTGGAGAGCCTTGCAGGGGGCACTGGTGCCCTGCTCTGTCTTGCCTGGAGGGAACTGTGGAGCTGGATGTTGGCAGCTGAGTGTTGGCAGCCCAGCAGCCCCAGCAAGGGCCTGGGGGGGCTTGGAGCCCCCTGGCTCTGGGAGGCAATGCCTGCTGCCCGAGCCAGGCATCCCTCTGACCTGGTATCCCTCTGCCTTGATATCCCTCTTCCCTGGTACCTCTCTGCCTGGGCCCTGCAGGGGAGTAGTTTCTGTGCTGCACCAGGCTCCATTAAGCTTAGGGTCAGGGTCAGGTTTAGGGTCAGGGTCAGGTCTAGAGTCCCTGCAGCAGTGAGGAGGAGCATGGGGAGCTGGAGCGTCTCCCCCTGCCCTGGAGCAGGAGGAGGAGGCAGGACCTGGCTCTGTGGGCAGTGCAGCAGGAGCTCCAGCAGCTGCTGGTGGAGATGAGCAGCTGTTCTGCCCCTGGCCTGGGCTGTCCCCACTGCCCTGCCAGGCTGGGGTCACCCCCCGTGGCCCCTCACTGCTCCTGGCAGGTTCAGCTCCCTGGTCCCCCAGCCTCTGGCACTGGGTCACTGTGAGCCCCTTGTGAGGGACCTGGGGCTGCCTCTGATCCACTGCAGGGTGGGCACTGGGGGCCTGCAGTGCAGTGCAGTGAGGTGCTGTGTGCTGTGTGACATGGTGCAGTGCAGTATAACATGGTGCAGTGCAGTAGGACCTGGTGCAGTGCAGTGTCACACCATGCAGTGCAGTAGGACCTGGTGCAGTGCAGTGTCACACCATGCAGTGCAGTAGGACCTGGTGCAGTGCAGTGTCACACCATGCAGTGCAGTAGGACCTGGTGCAGTGCAGTAAGGTGCAGTGCAGTAGGACCTGGTGCAGTGCAGTAAGGTGCAGTGCAGTGCAGTAGGACCTGGTGCAGTGCAGTAAG